TGCTCCTCTGCGTGCCCCTTTGCCTTCTCCTCTTGAGTCCTCTCTTCCTGCTCTTCCCGACCCGGAGTCGGACTCTCTTCGTGCTGCCAGTCCTACTGTCACGCGTCTCCTTGCTACTGTCGTCACTGACCCTTCTTTTGAGTCCACTGCTGCGTCTGCCCTAGTTGCTGAGCTCGTCGACTTAGCTGCTCGCTGTCGTCTAGACTACGCTGCTAGTCTTGTCGCTGAGTCTGAGTCTGTCTGTCCTCCGTCCGTCTGGGGTGAGTGTGCCCTTCGCACGGACGTCCTTGAGGACAGGCAGGAGGAGTTCCAGTGCTTGGCCGCTACTTCACCTCATCTCGTGTCCGTACTGCTTACCCCTGAGGGAGACCTGGATGCACTTGACATCCCGACTCCGCGCTCTTACGCGGAGGCGATAGAGGGTCCCTACTCTTCTCAGTGGCAGGCAGCTATGGATGCAGAGATGGCTTCCTGGAAGTCCACAGGCACCTACGTTGACGCTGTCCCCCCTCCTGGGGCGAACATCGTCAGTGGCATGTGGATTTTCAGGGTGAAGCGGCCGCCGGGTTCTCCGCCTGTCTTCAAGGCGCGTTACGTGGCTCGTCGCTTCAGTCAGCGGCAGGGAGTTGACTAATTTCAGACCTTCTCTCCCACCCCGAAGATGACCACTCTTCGGGTGCTGCTGCACATAGCTGCTCAGCGCGACTACGAGCTTCACTCTCTTGACTTCAGCACTGCTTTCTTGCAGGGCAGCCTGCACGAGGAGATCTTGGCTTCACTGGGACTTTTCCTCCTGGCACCCAGTGGAGCCTCCGGCGGCCAGTCTACGGTCTCCACCAGGCACCGCGTGAGTGGCACGACACACTGAGGACTACGCTTGCGGCTCTTGGGTTTGCTCCCTCTACCGCAGACCTGTCGCTGTTTCTACGCACCGACACTTCTCTGCCGCCGTTCTACATCCTCGTGTACGTCGACGACTTGGTCTTTGCCACTGCTGACACTGCTGGACTCGCCCACGTGAAGTCCGAGCTGTAGAAGAGACACACGTGCACAGACCTGGGTGAACTGCGCAGCTACCTTGGCTTGCAGATCACCCGCGACAGAGCACGCCGCACCATCACCCTGACTCAGTCACACATGGTGCAGCAGGTCCTTCAACGCTTCGGCTTCACGTACTCCTTGCCTCAGGCCACTCCTCTGCCTACTCGCCACTCGCTCTCAGCTCTGCCTTTGGATGAGTCCGTAGAGTCGAGTGGCCCGTACCCAGAGCTTGTTGGCTGCCTCATGTACCTGATGACCTGCACACGACCTGACCTTGCATACCTAGCATTCTTGCACGCTATGTTGCTCCTGGGAGACACCGACCAGAGCACATGGCTGCAGCGAAGAGGGTGTTGCGCTACTTGTGTAGTACGTCGGGCATGGGGCTAGTGCTTGGAGGGCGGAGTCCATTGGTCCTCACTGGTCACGCAGACGCTTCTTGGGCTGACGACCAGGCTACGCAGCGGTCGTCACAGGGTTACACCTTCAGCCTTGGTTCCGGCTCTGTTTCGTGGCGGGCTACTCGCTCGTCTTCTGTTCTCGGCTCCAGTTTTGAGGCTGAGATCTACGCAGGAGCCATGGCTGCTCAGGAGCTTCGCTGGCTCACCTACCTGCTGACCGACCTTGGAGAGCCGCCTCGTTCTCCTCCAGTCCTGTACGTAGACAACAAGGCCATGCTGGCCTTGTGTCGAGAGCAGAGACTGGAGCATAGAACAAAGCACATTGCTCTCCGCTACTTCCTTGCTCGTGAGCTACAGCAGCGTGGTCAGTTGCGGCTTGCGTACGTGGCCTCTGAGGCCAACACTGCTGATGTCTTCACCAAGGCACTTGCGCCTTGTGATCATCAGCGCTTTTGCACCCAGCTGGGACTTGTACCTTGTCTTGCCTCACTTGCTCACCTCTTGACCTTGCTTGTACTGTTACATATATATATACCTGCTCTTGCTTGTCTAGCCTTATATATATATGTACTCCTGCATGTGATTTGGCCTTGTGGCCTTGAACTTGTGCTCGGAATGTGTGGTGACTTTGTGATCCACCCTGAGCTTGCTTTGCTTTGCTTTACTTGACTGGTCTTGTGACCCCTAGTTCTCCCCCACTTCGCCTATGGGGGTGTGTCAAACATTATATATGTTGTGCTTGTTTAGGCTACAGTGGGTTAGCCTATAGGGGGTACACAATTCTAGGGTTAGGTACTTGTACTGATTTCACTGTTAGTTCAATCATTCCTGTTCATTCATTTCAACACCCACCACTGCGCGCATTATTCTGAAACATGTATAACATGCTATTTTTTTAGGACTCCCATAATCAGAGTTCAAACAAATCATATCAAATTCCATAGTCGTCGTTACGGTGCATTATTTTTTTTATGCTATGCTAGAACTCTTAAAGATTGTATGACGTATATAATATTATTCTTTTAACTGAATCCCATACTTAGATTTCAAACAAATAATATCAAAATCCATAGTCATTATATTAGTTTGTATGCTCTGTCAAACGCTAGATTGTACGACCTGTGTAATAGTTTAAATCGATCAATTCATTATTCAACATCTAACAGTCGGATTCCCAGTTTTGGCGGGAAACCAGAATCAGCGACCAGACCAGACGACCTTTGGCTCTTGCTTTTGAACAATGCTCGCGTGCCATTGTTGCACTTCCATTGAAACAAGGCCTCTCTTCTCTTAGCTGTCACGTCACCAGTCACGCCAACATGCCAACACTGTTGCACTTCAATTCAACTAGGCTTCTCTTGACATTTGCTTGACAGTTCACGATCCAAACACTGTTGCTTGCTCTTCTCTGCTCTGACCTTTGCTGCCAGATCACACATCCAGTCACGTTAACACGCTTCTACTGCTAGCAAAGGAACACCTTCTCTGTTGGTTAAGAAAATCACGTTATCTTCGTTCTTCAGATGAGAGAAACTCATTTTGGACATTCGTACGCACTTTCAACTGTCACAAGCCACTATTTCACGCGCTGCTCACAGCGCGTTCATCCAACTTGTACATGGATTTATCCATGGACAAGTTCGTGGTCATCGACTTGCCACCGAAGAGAAAAAATTATCACCACGTATCGCATGTTTCCTTCCTAAGTGTTGAAAAGTCCAAAACAGACGGTCTGACCAGCAATATTCGGCTTCAATACTTAAGTTACCATACACCGGTACGTCTACCAACTTGCCGCCGACGATTTGTTGGCTCTTACATCCGAGCCGCGACGACACATACTATTGAGCGGTCCCAGTAGTTCCCTCAGTTTGCCATGGTGGAACGTTTTCGTGATTCCAGAAACCTAGGGGATTATCGCTTAGAAGAACTGTCAGATATATATGACATAGTATTTGTAAGCTCTAGTGGGGTAGACACTAAGGGGTACAGGTTTCTAGGGTTTCATATTTCTATCACACTTTTTTAGTTCATTCATTCCTCATTATTTCACATGGTACAGAGCAGGTTCCCTAGTGGGAATGTTTCCAAGGGCCCACCGCTAAAACGATTATTTTTTGTTTACCTGCCCGGAGCGCGCTTCGCGCCTGCCCTAGTCGCACCTCGCACGCCTGCCTTCCCGTCGCGTCCCCTGCCCTTAGCGGCCCGTCGCGCCCTCTTAAGGCCCCTTCGCGGCCCCTCTCACGGCCCTTCGCGGCCTCTTCGCGGCTCCCTCGCGGCCCCTCCGCGGCCCTTTGTGGCCCCTCTCACGGCCCTTCGCGGCCCCTCGTGGCCCCTCGCAGCCCCTTCGCCGCTCTTCGCGGCCCCTTGCGGCCCCTTCGCGGCCCCTCGCTGCCCCTTCTCGGCCCCGTCGCCGCCCTTCGCGGCCCCTTCATGGCCCCTTGTGGCCCCTTCTCGGCCCCTTCGCCGCCATTAGCGGCCCCTTCGCGGCCCCTCCGTGGCCCTTCACGGCCCTCCGCTGCTCCTTCGCGGCTCGTCGCGGCCCCTTCGCGGCCCTCTTCCCGGCTTTTCACGGCCCTGCCGCCCCGCCGTCGCCGCCCGAGCAGCAACTGCCGTCGCGCCTGCTGCCGCAGCTGCTCCTTCTACGACCGGTCGCCGCCGCCGCTGCTGCCATGACAGCCGCCGCCGCTCAGCTGAGGCAACCGCCGCTGCCGCTGCCGTGACAGCCACCGCCGTCGTCCCGGCCCTGCCCTGCAGCCGAGGCGCGGCACTCCTCTGCCGCCCTGTCGCGGCCCTGTCCCTGCCGGCGCGCCTCGGCCCTGCCCCACCGCTGGTGGATCTCTACCCTCCCGCCCCTGGTAAGCGCACCGCCGAGCCGCGCCTCTCCTGCTGAACTGCTCCTAGCCTGCTGCTGCCGCTGCTAGCTTGCTGCTGCTGCTGCTGCTAGCCTGCTGTTGCTGCTGTCATGGCTACCCCTAGTGTTCTCACCTTTGATGCCGAGGGTCGGGCTGTAAACTTTGAGGTCTGGGTCGATGATCTGCAGCTTTTCCTGCAGTGCGATAGAAAAGATGGTCTCTCACTGTTGGATCTCACGTCTGGCGCCTCTGCTGCCCCTGCTACTGATGCTGACAGTATTGTTCGCTCACAGTGGGCCACACGCGATGCTGCTGCCCGTCTTGCTGTGCGTACTCACTTGCCGTCCACTGAGCACGCGCACTTTAGTCAGTACAAGAGTGCTAAGACCTTGTACGACGCTGTAGTTGCACGCTACTCTTCCCCTGCCACTGCTGCCCTTAGTCGCCTCATGCTGCCGTACCTGTTCCCTGACCTCGCCGCCTTTCCCACAGTCGCTGACCTCGTTACGCACCTTCGCACTAGTGACTCCCGCTACCGCGCTGCGCTTCCTGCTGAGTTCTGCGCCAAGAACCCCCCCCCCCCCTATACATCACCCTCTACTACCTAGTCACCTGGCTCCCTGACTCCCTTCGCTCGGTCGGAAACCACTTCCTCTCTAATTACCCCACCACAGTCACCGTTGACCTCCTCGAGGGGCGCCTCATGGCAGCTGAGAAGAGTATAGTCGCTGTAGGAGCCTCTCGTGGTGACCCTCGTACCCCCTTCTTTGAGGGGTGCTCCCCCTCCCCCCTTCTGCCCTCTATTGCCTCTGCTGCTGCGGTCGACCTCGTTGGCATCGAGTCAGTCGGCGCTGCGTCTGCCCCTAGCGGGAGACGCCGCAACGGCAAGGGCAAGTGGGGTAAGGGCGCTGGAGGAGCTGGCGGGGGCGGTGGAGGTGGCGGTGGAGATGGCGGTGGAGGCGGCGGAGGGGGTGGGGGTGGCGGTGGGAGTGGTGGCGGGGGTGGGGGCTTCGGTGGCGGCGGTGGAGGCGGAGGCGGCAGCGGCAATGGCGGTGGGAGCGGAGGAGGCGGCAGTGGCGGCGCTGGCAGCGGCGCCGGTGACGCTGGTCGGGGTGGCTCTCTGCAGCGGGGCGGCTTCGGTGGTGGTCAGCGCCAGCAGCAGCAGCGCACTCGTGAGACCCCGCCCCCCAAGCAGCTTCGTGAGTGGTACGCTGCGCGTCAGCTGGGTGGGGGTGCTGGTCCCTGTGCCTACGTCCTGCGTACCGGCAACCGCACTGGTGAGCCGTGCGGTGGCCTGCACACCACCCAGCGCTGCTTCGGCCGCCTGACAGACGCCTGGCGTCTCCAGTTCCCTAACGCCACTGAGATCCCTTGCTGGGGCGAGCTGCTTAGGTCGGGGGTTGCTATCTTTGATCTTGATTATGATGATATTTTTGCTGCCATGTATGTTGTGTCTACTAGTGATGAGGGTGACTGTTACCTGTGTGTTCCGCCTGACCCGGGCATTGAGGCTGCTGCTCTAGGTGCTGGTGAGGCTGCTGCTCTAGGTGCTAGTGCGTCTGCTGCTCCAGGTGCTGGTGAGTCTGCTGCCCAAGGTGCTGGTGAGTCTGCTCTCTCAGGTACCACGTCGGCTAAGGCTTTGCACACCTTCACCCTTGACTCGGGTGCTTCCCACTCCTTCTTTCGAGACCGCACCACACTCACGCCGCTTAGTCGGCCGGTTGGAGTCTCCCTGGCAGACCCCTCTGGGGGTCTTGTCCTTGGCCACTTCTCCACTGTCTTACCGTGTCCGGCGGCCCACACACACACTCCGCACCGCATCAGGCCAGAAATAGTTGGGTAGCCCGACTTCAATGAACAACCCGCGTGCCGCCTCCGTGATTGTGCGGTTCGCTCGCTCGGCGATGCCGTTCATCGCAGGGGAGTATGGCATGGTGAGGGAGTGCCGAATACCATTCTTCTTCAGCCACAACCCAAACTCCTTGCTCAGGAACTCTCCCCCTTGATCGGTGCGGATTGACTTGACTAGACGGTCTTGTTGCCGCTCCACCATCGGGAACCAATCTATCTTCAACGTTTCAGCCACGTCGCTCTTCTTGGCCAGCATGTACACCCAAGTCATGCGGGTGTAGACGTCCACAACAGTGAGGAAATACTCAGCTCCAGCAGCTCCAAGCTTCAGGGGGCCCACCACGTCCATCACCACCTCATCAAGTGGTCTCTTTGCCATTGCCTCCGAACTAGGGAACGGAAACCGGGTGAACTTGGCTTGAATGCACGTCGAGCAGCCAAGCACCTCATTGGGCTCTCCCTCAGGCGAACGCGCCTGTAACCCTCTCCAGGATCAATCGGGCATCCACAGTGCAGATCTACTGACACCAATAGTCCATGGGGTGTAGGGTCACCTTCCCCACAGCTGCTGGCTCCTCAAAGCCTTCATCCTTCTCTGGACCAGTCGGTACTTGCGTCAACACAAAGTAGAATAGACACAGGTACCGATCGTCGCTCAGGTCCTTGTCATTGTCTCCGCTCTTCATGTTTGCAGCTCCGCCACCGCGACCGCCACGGCCTCCACGGCCTCTTCCTCTCCCTCCTCTTGCTCCTCTACCCTGGAGGAGACCTTTCAATGCAAGGCCCTTGGACCGGTGGGGTATTACCTTGGTCTTCACGTGGAGCGGGACGAGGTGAAGGGATGGTTGAGGCTTCACCAACACAAGTACCTTACAGCCATGGGGGAGAGGTATGGGCTGGAGGAAGGGAGGAGTGTGAAGACTCCTCTACCCTCAGGGTTTCAGCTACACCTTGATGAAGAGGAGGGTGAGGTGTTGGAGCCCGAGTTGTAGCGTCGGTTCTAGTCAATGGTGGGGAGCTTGATGTATGCTTCGGTCAACACTCGCCCCGATATATCATTCGCGGTTTTGCAGCTGGCTCGTGTGGTGCCTAGGCCCCTTCAAGAGCACCTTGATGCAGCAGAGAGTGCGGAGATAACTGCTGCAACGGGAGCTAGACTACGGGCTAGGCACGTGTGCTCGTGTGATCTCTGCGTTCGTTCACTTAGTCATTTCCTTGTGTTCACGCTTCTTGCTAGTTCACGGGGAAAATTGGCAAGAGTTTCACTAGGAAAACATGACATCAATAATCCAATGAAGTTGGCAATGCAAGACTACATCAGAGCTAGCATTCAGGTCGGCCAACTGCCAGCGCAGCTTGGTCAACCGCGTTCCAGCACGACTTGGTCGACCGCACTCCAGCAAGGCAAGGTCGACGGCGTGCCAACGTCGCAGGTTCATGGCGTACCAGCATTGCTCACGCAGGACAGCAGTGCACCCGCTTTGCAGGACCGCGCAGATGATTGGCGTGCAGAGTCTCGTCACCTGCACAGCGCACACACCACGTCAACCTCGAGCTGACGACTGCCTCTGATCCGCCATGACGACCTCGGGATACCACCACCGAGGTCGGTCTCGCCAACTTTGCCTGGGCGACCGTCGCACTCCTCCGCAGCACTTCGTCACCCAGGTAACCTGGTCGACCGGGCAACCACGTCGACCAGCAGCTCCCGTACGTGCCCGTCGACCTCCCAAGTCGACGACCACCTCCATGTCGACCTCACCAGGACGACCACGCCTCTCGGTCGACCTCCTCCAGGTCGACGTCCCTTCTGGTCGACCAGCTCCACGTCGACCAGCACTAAGTCGGCCAGCGCAGTTGTCGGCCGACCACCCACGTCGGCCACCCGAAGTCGACGTCACGAAGTTGACACCCCGCTACTCGACGCCCAACTGCTCGGCGTCCTGAGTTGAGGTCGACGTCGGCCCCTCCTGGAAGTTGGCGCCACCCTGAAGTCGGCGCCCGTGGAGTGGTCCCCGTGCAGGTCGACCTCCTCGTCAACCAGCTCACCCACTACTGCAGGTCGGCTGCTCCCCTAACACCCGACCACGATGTCGGCTCCGCCCAAGCGAGGATGGGGCCAACACACAACTCCCGTTGACACTCCCCTGCCGCGTTCACGCTTGGGCACCCAGCCCACACGGCAGTACAGCTCCAAGAATAGCCCGTCGGCGTTCACCCAACACACAACACGCCGGTCACCGCACCAGCCATGCAAGTGGGCATGGCACCTACTGCTGCACGTCTTTATCGCCGTCGCCCACGTCGGCCAAGCGCACCTGGCCGATTGCGACGGAGCACCGGTTGAAGGCCGGATAGTGCAGCGCCTTCGTCAGGAAGTCGGCTGGCTGCTCAGCGGTGGGGATGTACTGCAGCGAAAACTTCCCGCGCTTCACCATGTGCTGCAGCCACGCTGTCACCGCTCCATGTGCTTGAGGTTGCCCGTCAACCCCATGCCCTCGGCGACTGTGATAGCCGACTTGTTGTCCACTCGCAGGACAGTCGGCTTCCCGGCGTCCAGCTGCCGGAACTCCGCAAGAAGGAAGCGAAGGCGGCGTCCCTCCTTGCCAGCTTCAGTTGCCGCAACGTACTCCGACTCGGTCGACGACAGCGTTGCGCACTTGATGCGCTAGCTCGACCAGGAGACCGCGGCCCCACCGTAGACGAACACGTACCCACCCGTGCTCGTCCAGTTCTGCTTGTCACCGGCATCATCGGCGTCCACGTAGCCGACCAGCTCCAGCGACTCAGGTCCACCGCCGAACTCCAGGGCGGTGTCGCATGTGTTGGTGAGGTAGGCGAGGCAGCGGTCGACCTCGCGCCAGTGCTGATCGCTCCTCACCGTGAGGCCGCTCTCCAGCTTGCTGCAAGCAAAGGCGATGTCCGGCCTCGTTGTTGTCGCCGCGAACTGCAACGAGCTGACCTTCTGCTGGTACTCCTCTTCGTGGCGTTCCTGCGCCTCCTCGTCGTCGAAGGTGAGCTCGGCGTAGGCGTCGACCGAGACCGGCGTCTTCGGGGTGCGCCCGGTCTGCTCCTCGTCGATGAAGCGCCTACGCAGCTCGTCGGTGTAGCCCTGCTGGTGCAGCCACAGCTTCCCCGCCGACCTGTCGCGCACGATCTCCAGCCCGAGGTACTTCTGCACCGGCGAGATCTCGCGCAGCTCGAAGGCGGCTTCCAGCAGCTCCTTCAGCTCCTTCAGCATCGCGGCGCTGCTGCTGGCGGCAAGTAGGTCGTCGACGTAGACCAGCACCCAGCAGGCCACTCCGTCCTTTCCGACATTGAAGTAGAGAGCCTCGTCGACCTGGCTCTTCTTCCACCCGGCGCCGACCAGCACATCGTTGAGCGCCAAGTACCAAAACAGCGGCGACTGCTTCAGCCCGTACAGGCTCTTCAGCAGCTTGCACACCCGGCCGGATCCGTCGTTGAAGTAGTCCGGCTGGGACATGTACAGCACCCGATCGAGCTTGCTCTGCAGGAAGGCGTTCTTCATGTCAAGCTGCATCAGGTTAAGGTCGAGGACGGCGACGATGCTGAGGAAGATCCTCAGCGTGACGTAGCTGCCCACCGGCGCGATCGTCTCGTCGTAGTCGGCGCCGTACACCTGTGTGAAGCCCTTCACGACCAGCCTCGCCTTCTCGCGCTTGACGGTGTCGTCGACGTGGTACTTCGTTGTCAACACCCACCGGTTCTTCATGACGTTCACTCCCGACGGGCGTTCGACCAGCTCCCACGTTCCCATGTTGAGGAGGCTGCGAATCTCCTCCTCCATGGCGGCCTTCACCGCTGGGCCCTTCCAGCTCGCCAACGCCTCCTTCACCGTCATCGTCGAGATGTCCCAACGGTGCTCGGGGTCGGCTAGCATGTTGGGGTCGAGCTTTGGAAACTCCTCATCTTCCTCGGCATCGTCGTACAGCAGGTTGTCGGCCTCATCGTCCACGTCGTACACCGTGGTGAAGGCAGCGGGGACGAAGAAGTCAGGCGGCCTCCGAAGTCGGCCTGAACGCCGTGGTCCTGGCTGGACCTCCTCGGCGTCCCCTCCATCGTTGCTGTTGTCGCTGCCCTCGGCGTCCTGCTGCTCCTAAGCCGGCGTCCCAGCCGACTTCCCCCCTGTGGTCGGCGTCCCAGCCGGCTTCTCCCCTATGGTCGGCTCCCCTGCCGCCTGCCCAGTCGCCGATTGCTCCTTGGTCTGCGTCACTGCTGCCTCCTCCTTTGTCGGCCGCTGGTCCTCGACCTGCTTCTCGACCTGCTCCTCCCCTGTCGACGTCGACTGCAATCCCACGTCGACCTGCCGCTGGTCACGTCGGCCACCGGCGATGCACTTGGCCGAAGGCGACGTCCCACTACTCCCCTCATCGCCGGAGGCCGACACCGAGGTCAGCCCACGCAGGTCGGCCACGAGGGGAGGGGCAGGGGTCGGAGGGGGAGGGGTAGGGGGGCGGACGTCCTCGACGTCCTCAATAGCAAGCTCACCGACCTCGGTAAGCAGTGGCAGCGTCGCCGACGAGGTGTCAGAGGGCGGGGTGGGCGACGAGCGGCCGGACACCGACCCGTACTCCGTCTTCCACTCGGCCAGCGACATCTCCTCGTAGAACACCACGTCCGACGTTGTGACCACCTGGTCGGTGTCGACGTCGAGGAGCTCCCAGCCCTTGCTCGCCGCCGACACGCCAAGGTGCAGGCCCCACCTGGCCTTCGGCTGCAGCTTCCCACCACGCTGCTGCTCGGGGACTAAGAACTGCGCCATGCAGCCCCACACCCGCGCCAGCGACAAGTCGGGCTTCTTCCCGGTCAGCAGTTGGTACGGCGTCGTCCCCGGCGGCAGC